GGGCCCTCATCGGGAGCACCCAGAGGAGAAGCAGCAAGACTCTTTAATACTGGCCTGGAGCAGTCCTGAGCCAGTGGCTACAGCACTGCAGAAAGGATAGCGGTGGTGGTAGTAATGGTGGTGCCACAAGAACAACATCTCTGGGAGGTACTGACATGTGAAGCAGCCTCCCACCACGCTCAAGCTATAGGGACTTAAGAAGGAAGCAGTGATTGCAGTAGCAAGCAAGTGGCAAGAAGAGGTATTTGACCCCACATATCTTGCGGGAAGCCACCACTTGCTGATACTGTCAGGAGAGTGTACCAAGGAATGCAGAAGGCTGATGGACCTTGGGCGTTAGCACCTTGTCTGTTGAGATAGCAGTGGCTGAAGGCAATTCCCTAACCTGATAATCCTTTTACTATTTACCAAACTTTACCTTTGATATGCCTGTATGCATTGCTAAAGGGCAAATGTGTATTCAAGTAAATAAAAGGCGGACCAGGCCAGAAGTCATTGTGTCTCCAAGAAAGACCCCACCTGGCCCCCAATGTCTCCTAAATTCATATTTCTTGTATAGTATTTTCATTTGTGTGTCGGCCCCTCCTTCAGATCCTGAACTCCGCCTTGAAGGTCGCAGCACACTCTCCCAGGTGATATGAAGGGATTGGGGACCTGGAATTTCAGCAGTTGAGCATATGTAATCTCAGCCCAAGTTATTGGTTTTGTTGTCATTTGGGCTTTGTTTATCTTTCAGTGTCATTTTTAAGAATTAAACATACTTACATACTTAGAGATGACAGAGATGTTAGGTTAGCAAGCAAGGACTTTATAATCTATATATATAAAGAGTCAGGGACCATCGCAACCAAATGGATGACTGAACAGACAACCAAACAGGCTGAGTGGGGCAACAAGGCCAGCAGGGGGGTTAGTGAGGGACGACCAAATGACTGAATAGCAGGCTGTGTGGGGCGACCAGGCCGGAGGGGAGGCAGTGAGGGGCAACCAGGCCAGCAGTGGGGGCAGTTGGGGGTGACCAGGCCAATAGGGGGGGGCAGTTGTGGGTGACCAGACTGAAAGAGGAAGGCAGAGGGGTGACCAGGCCGCCAGAGGGGGCCAGTGAGGGGTGACCAGGCTGGCAGGGAGCAGTTGGGGGTGACCAGGTTGGCAGGGGGGCCAGTTTGGGATGACCAGACCTGCAGGGGTGGCAGGGGTGACCAGGCTGGCGGGGAGGCAGTTAGGGGTGACGAGGCTGGCAGAGGGAGGCTGTTGGGGGCAACCAGGCTAGCAGGGGGGGGCAGTAAGGGGCGACGGGGGGCAGTAAGGGGTGACCATGCAGGCGGGGGGGGACAGTTAGGGGGGACCAGGCTAGTGGGGGGGGCAGTTGGGGGCGACCAGGTTGGCAGGGGAGGCAGTTGGGGGCAACCAGGCTGGCAGGGGGGGCAGTAAGGGGTGACCATGCAGGCGGGGGGGGACAGTTAGGGGGGACCAGGCTAGTGGGGGGGGCAGTTGGGGGCGACCAGGTTGGCAGGGGAGGCAGTTGGGGGCAACCAGGCTGGCAGGCCTGGTTGGTTAAGGGTGATCAGGCTGGCAGGGGGGCCAGTAGCGGCAATCAGGCAGGCAGGCAGGTGAGCAGTTAGGAGCCAGCGGTCCTGGATTGTGAGAGGGATGTCCAACTGCCGGCCTATAGCGGCAGTCGGACATCCCCTGAGGGGTCCCGGATTAGAGAGGGTGCAGGCTGGGCTGAGGGGACCCCCCTCCATGCATGAATTTTGTGCACTGGGCCTCTAGTAGTTCTTATAAATGTGTTTAAGGGTTGGTGTTTTTTTAAAAAGCAAGCACAGAGAGTAAACTTAAGAAGTTCCTCATGATGGCTCAAATACTGACTTTTAAGATTTTCTTTAAAAGACAATTGATTATTTAAAGCAAAAATAGTAACTTAAGCCCTAGCTGGTTTGGCTCACTGGATAGAGCGTCGGCCTGGGGACTGAAGGGTCCCAGGTTCGATTCTGGTCAAGGGCATGTACCTTGGTTGCAGGCACATCCCCAGTAGTGGGTGTGCAGGAGGCAGCTGATCGATGCTTCTCTCTCATCGATGTTTCTAACTCTCTATCTCTCTCCCTTCCTCTCTGTAAAAAATCAATCAATAAAATATATTAAAAAAATAGTAACTTACTTTGGGGCTTTTAACACTTGTAGAAATATGATGTATGAAACAATAGTGCAAAGAGCAAGTTGGGGAACAGGAAGTATACTTTTTAAATACTACACATGTAGTGATGTAATATGAAAACATAGTAGACTGCTATTAAGGATGCATGTTGCAATTCTTAGATCAGCTATTAGAAAGTAAAACAAAAAGGTATCGTTTTTTAAGCTAATAAAAACGATATTTCTTTCTCTCCTTTCTTTCACTTTCCTTCATTTTTGAAGGACATTTTTGCTATGCTTTTAATTCTTGGTTAATAGGTTTTATTTCTTTCAGCACTTTAAAGATGTTATTCCATTGTCTTCTGGCTTGTTGAGAAGTCAGTATTATTATTCCCCTATGTCTTGAGCAGAATGAGTCGTTTTTTCTGTGGTTGCTATTAAGATGATTCTCATTGATCCTTGGTTTTCAGAAATTGGACTATGATGTGCTTGCTGTGTTTTTTAAATGTGGCATGTGAAGTGCTTTACAACCTCTAACTGTTGGGTTGGGTAAAGCAATCAGTGAAGTCACAGCTGCTGTGCCAATGGCTATTCCTCAGAATCTCTTAACAATTCACACTAGAAAAAGAGGAGAACAGGATGCTTAGAAAGGAGGGCAAATAGTGGCAAGGGGATGGGGAAAATGAAATTACTTAAAGTCTGTGTTTTAAAATCTCATTAAGCTTCACTTTTGATGAAGTATAATTTGAAAAGATATATTTATTTTTAGAAAGCAAGTCATAAGGCAATTAGGGGTTAGTTCACCTACGGAGATGCTAAAAATTATATTTGAATTGTCAGTAATTCTAGTTTTAGCTCTAAAAAGCAAAATATAAGTATTAAAGAAAGAGTTTTTACTTGAAATCTCTGGACAAAGAAAGACATTTGCTTTCTCTAAAGGTCATCTAGGATGAGAATATAGCTGTTTGAAGAAAATGTGTCATTGATGATCTTTTTAAAATAATATTTACTATGAGAGATTTTGTTTTTGTAATATTAAGGTTTTTTTAAATTTGCTTGTCCTATATAATAAAAACCTAATATGCAAATTGACCGAACAGCAGAACGACCAGTTGCTATGACACTCACTGACCACCAGGGGGCAGACACTCAATGCAGGAGCTGCCCCCAGCCTGCAGGCCCCAGGCCAGCCAAGGTGGGTGCCAGCGGCTCCCCCCGCCATCGCCCCGCCAGTCGCCCCACAGAGGGAGACGACCAGCTGCGGCGGCAGGGGGCGAGACCGGCAAACGGGTGGCACCAGGCTGGCCAAGGCAGGTGCCAGCAGGGGCTCCCCGATCACCCTGCCATCACCCCACAGATCAGCCTTGATCACGGGCCAGGCCTAGGGACCCTACCCATGCACGAATTTCATGCCCCGGGCCTCTAGTTTTTACATAAAAAACTGAGCTTGTCTTGAATCCGCAAGTGACATATTTGGGTTAAAATTGCTTTCAACGATATACCATACACTTCCTAATTATCTAAATGTTTGCAATTACTGTGTATCTCCATTAAAACATATGTTTGCATTATACTTTAAATCTGTATTTTGGGGGGACAGTCTCACATTTTGTAAGAGTAGGAAGGTTCGCTAAGGCTTCTCAATAATGGGAATGCAAATGTTGCTAACATTTGAGCCATGCTCAGTGAAGAAAAGAAAGTTGGGGCCATTTCAACACTCAGTACCCTTTCTTAGCATAGAATGATAGAGTATTGGTGTGGAAAGGATTTCTTTTTTAAAAAAATACTCAAAATGTTACTATGTGCCATAGTCCTTCATCTTTGGAAATTTTGTGGCTTTCAGGGTCACAGGCTTTGTGTCATAGACCAGCAGAGAGCACAGTTCATCAGCTGTGGATATTTTTTGCGTGCTTAGTGTTGTCATAGCTATTTCTCTACCTCATGGACTGTATGACACCTTTCATTTAAAAAAGCCCTTTGTGTTTGTGATTACTGTGCACTTAAGTTATTGGGTCTGTGGTTGGCCTTCCAGCTGTCCACCGGCATGAGGTCATAGCAAAGCGGCCACAGTTATCAGTGTCACCGTGCTATTCTGTTAGGTTAAATCGAAAAAACTGGTGGTATCCAAAGAAAACTTCTGGTATAAAAATTATTTTTGTCTGTTTTGAATTAATGAAGCAGCAGAAACACAAGCTATGAGTAATGTTTATAAATGGCTTTGGATTTTCTTCTGTGAGGACTGTCCTCAATGTTAGCAGCCGTAAGAAGATACCATGTGTCATATTAGTTTTACAATATTAATGTTTGTACAGGATGATGGCAGGAAGACAAACTGGATTTTGTTCCTTATTGGTTATTATCGGTTAGTGACAATCATGTGAGGGATTATGATAAACCATTTGAAATTGCTATTTGTGTTGGCAATTTTATATGGCTCTAGGAGACAAGATATACTTTAATTAGTTCTCTCTACATCACTGTGAGCCTGCCACAAATATTTTAAGTTAATACATGTAATTTAAGAATTGGAATTTGAAAGGCAAGATCTGTTTGTTCTCATTCTTGCTCTGCTTTTACTCTTTATTATTGCTCCTTTACTTTCATGGAAATGGCAACTCCATAATCAGGACATCTGACATTTGCCACTCTGTTGCCTCTTCGATGTAAACAAGTAAAAGCAAAATATTACTTACTTGTGTGTTAAAATCATTTTTAGATGCTTCTAACAATAATTTAAACTTGCAGCTGTTCCTTTGTGAATTTTTATGAGTTCTTTTGTCTAGAAAGAAGATAATTCCATCATAGGAATATATTAGAAGTATTGAAATGCCTCCCCCCTCCTCCTTTTCCATATTTCTCCAGTTGCAATTTCATCTGCACAGAAAAAGAACTCTGGTAGCTTCTGCCTGACTTTCAGTAGGAAATGCTCTAAAAACAAGCAACAGCTATTTTGAGGACCGACTTTCTAAAATTATATTCAGGTAAGTTAAATGTCATCCCTGATAGCGAAAAGTAAGCATTTAATTTAACCATGTTGATCAAAATGTACTTGCCTTCAAGTGTTTTTTAATATATCGGTATTCCTGGGTGGATTTAAATTATATTGACAGAAACATCGATTTCCTCACATTTTCAAATATTAAGTGGGTTTTAGAACCTGGTCTACAGCATGGTTGTTTTTGAAGGAAAAAAAAAATGTAATTCAGCCAAGGCTGCTCTTGTTTTCCCTTTATTCTTTAAGCCAGAAGCAATTACTTTTCATTTCAGGATTAAGCGGCTGTAACATTGCCGTTCGCCGCGGAGGCTCCTGGTTTCAGCATGTCTCCTTGGTTCCCGGCCAGCCTGGGTGTTCAGGTGGCAGCTGTGCCTGGGAGTGCCTCTCCAGCCCGCATTCCTTGGCCATGAATTTTGCAGCCCTGCTTATCTGATGAAGACCTCCCCAGGGTGAGTTGCTCACGACACTGTCACACAGACTTTACTGGATGATATGGAAAGGTACTGTGTATTTTTCCTCCTGGAATGCCAGCCAATCCTGACTTACCAACCACCCCTTCACTGGGGCTGATCATCACAAAAGCCTGGTACTTAGATCCCATGAAACCTGTTCTACATAAACCAGATCCCAACAGGAAGCCTGTGAGTGCTCTCTGTGATGCTGTCACCGAAGCCTGTTCAGAGAATTTTCAGCAATTATATTTGTTCCGACATTGACTCTCATTTCTCTGCACTAATTATTTACTTCAATGTATACTCCCCCCCCCCCCGCCCTTTTTTTCTTTTTTTAGAGAGAGTGGAAGGGAGGGGTAAAGACAGAGAGGAACATCGATGTGAGAGAGACACATCGATTGGTTGCCTCCCACACGGAGCCTGCAATGGAGGTACATGCCTTTGATCGGAATTGAATCTGGGACCCGTCAGTCCACAGGCTGATGCTCTATTCACTGAGCCAAACTGGCTAGGGCTTAATGTATACTTTTAATCTATAAGTGCTATCACCAACGTCAGCACCCAAAGAGCTCTCTTCCTTCTCTTGAAACCCATGACTTTCCTGGGGTAGCTTGGCTTTAAAGCACGCTTTCTCGCTATTTCGTGTGTCTTCCTTTTGCTTTCCCAAACCAGTCTCTAAATTCCTTGAGAGAAGAGACCCTGAAAACTGGTATCACCTTTTACAGACAAATAGAAAAAAAGCATTTGGACAGAGAGGCCTTTGTTGCTCTTAGTAATTGAGACAATTTGCCTTAACATGTTCAGAAGACTTATCTGCTGTAATATATCACTGCTCTCCTTTCCCCTGCCTGCCCTCTGCTGGAACTGCTAATGAGCAAAAAGATGGTCAAAACAGAACATCGCAGGGGGAAAGTAGGAAAACAAGGGGCTTGTCTTACTGAGCAGCTAGTTGAGTAACTGTGGTTTCTGAGTCCCTGTTATGGGTGTTAGAAGGTCCTCGTTATGTGCCTTGGAGAACTAGCAGCCTCTTCATAAGACCCCTTGTTGTTTCAACCGTGCATGGGGATGTGAGTCTGCCTACTGACATGAGAGACCCAGTGACCTGGTGCGCCCTCCTCTTCCTCTGGGCTTGTGTCATCTCCAGAACCATCCAACTGATGGCAGCTGGCTGAGCCAGCCAGGCAGTGCCCCTTCCCAAACACAAGTGCCCTCTCCCTGTTCACCAGCCTCTCAAGCCTTCACCACCCTCATATAGTGTAGGGCGCGGCTATAGGGTTAAGCCTGGGACTGACCTGTTGGCAAAGCCACAAGCACGTCCCAGCATAGAGGGCACAGTCCTCTTAGTATAATTAGGCTTGACCTTATAACGCTCCCTAGATCTTATCTGGGTAGCTAATGGGCTGTGGGAGGTGCAGCAAGTGCTGCCAAAACAAGTGAAACTCACAAGAACATTGTAACTATGGTGACCACTACCTTGTTTACCTCTGGCTATAAAATAAAGGCTCAGTTTGCCATCTGGGGCTCCCTCTGTGGCTTCAGCCAGGCACAGGAGATCCACCTAGAGCAGGGGTGGGCAACCTTTTTGTGAGTGCGTGCCAAACCAGCAAAATCTCTGACTCAAAATTCTTCTGCGTGCCAACCCTAATTTTTTGAGAACGTGTTACGTCTACTTGATATCTCTTAAGGTGTACGTATGTGAAGAACCTTGAAGAAATAATAAAATTCATTCGAGTGACAAAAACAGTATATGAGGATGAAAAAATACATTTATTTTTTAATGTATACATGTACACTGATAGTCTGACAGAAAACTTTATGACTCCATTTGATATTATCAGTGGGACTTTTGCTGCTGCATCACTGATGACAGAGACTTTACATCAGGTTTATATTTCGTGACCTTCAGAGATATGCACGAGCTACTACTTTCATCCGTCAGGCTACTCCTATTACGAGACTTAACAAATTTCATCACTGAGAACAAAGATTCACAAGCGTATGTGGATGAAACCAAAACACTGGTCGGATCTAGGAAGGCAGGGAGAGTTAAGGCAGAGGCATAGAAATTGCTCTTCCCCTCACTCGTCAATCCATGTCTAAGGTCCTTAAGATAACTTGTTATGTAAAATTATTTATTTATCTAAGATGCACCTACACTGAATTTATCTGAAAAATAAAAAAGTCGATATGAAGAAAAAAATTGTAAATGGAAGATTATAAGAGAGGGTTTCGCGTGCCAGCAAAAGTTACTGGCGTGCCATGTTTGGTGCGCGTGCCAGGGGTTGCCCACCCCTGACCTAGACCCAGTTTATTCTCTTTGTCTTTTCTTTAACCCTTCACCGCCTCCCCCATCCCCACTTCAGGCTCACGGAACCCTTGGCTGTGCTGGCCCGGCACAATATATAACAGGCATTTACAAGGATCTGGCAAGACTGCCAGTTTGGTAATGCAAAGCAGAAGATAAGTTTGAAACTCTAGACCAGTTTCCAGTTACCAAGGGCAGCAGGATGTGACAGCTGCTGAGGCAGCCCATTTGCCCTTGGAGAGAAGCATGAGTGTCTGATCGCAAGGTGACCTCTGCCTGCTGCTGGCTCAGGGGTGCTGTGGGCAGTCCCTGGTCAGGTAGCTGGATGTTATATAAAAGAGGAGGAAAACGTGTGTTTTTTGCCTTTTTTATTATTGAAAGAGGGCACTCTGGGAGGCAGAATCCATTAGCTGAATCCATTTCAGTATCTATGGGTAATTAATTTAGGCAGCTTTGATGCACTTTTATTATGTAGCCTTTAAGAGCTGTTCTGGTAACTGTCCACCCCATAAATACTAGAACTACTTTACTTGTAGAATATGCTTTTTGGGAGGGTGAATCTGAATTATTAGCTAGATATGAACTTGCACACATCCCTGTCCAGACAATGTAAAAAGTGCTTCCTCATAGTTTGGACACTGTTCAACACATTTGAAAGTGGGGTAAAAACTGCTCAAATGTGACACCCTACATTTTAAGTCAGTGGAGAAGTCAGTCTGGTTGCCTCTGAAAACATAATTTTGAAAATGAGTTTTACCATACTGTGGACAGAATAATTGATTTCCTCTTTTCATTATGTAAGTTAAACACTAGACTTTGAATTACTAGAAGTAATAACACTGTTAGCCAACAAGACTTTCTTATAAAATGATAGCATTTTAATGTATTATATGCATTAGCATTTATTCATGCCTAAGATTTCATCAATCAATTTCCCATTTTAAAAAGACATCTTGGGGAAAGACAGTGGAGAAAGGCTGACTTCCAAAAGCAATGTTGTGAAAGGCAGCAGGTCTAGCATTCTGGGCACATGTTTAACTAAATAGCTAAATAACTATTTGGCTCCAAGTATAAACCCACATTTTTTTTTACATGTCTACCTCTTGGAATGTCAGAGTTTTAAAAGGAAAATATTTAAATTTCACTAGTTAAGAGGTGTGCCGTATTTGTTCAAAATGACAGCTATCTCTGATATTTTTAAATACTTACTTTTCTGCTTTGACAGACTTCTAACTACTCTTTCGTTTTAATTTTGTTTACAGTAGTATATTTCAATAGTTGGCTACAAATTAAGTGAATATTAGTACTTTGTGATGGTTTTATTAGTTAGTTGCTTTTGAAAGATATTGTCAAATAAAAGTTACTTCAAATTAGAAGCTTTAAGAATCACTACCCCCAGATAAATGTTCATTTTAAATCATTTATTTATTTCACTCATGCAACAAAATTGTATTTAACACATATCAGGACTGACTTATCTTAGGCTCCAAGCACCTGATATAAGTGGTCCTGAGGATGTCTGGATTGTGTCCCAGGAACACTTCTAGGGCTCACACACACTCTCTAACTCTGACTAGTGTTTCTGGTTCTTGTTGCAGATGGCTTTCTCCATGCCATGGGGAACGTGGCTCCTAGTGATCTTGCTTTTCCGTCTCATCCTATCAGCAATTCTACCAGCAATGAATTGACTATTTGTCTCTTTTTCTTTGGCTCCCGTCAGAGTTACTTGCATTGGATCAATTAGATCACATACTTCTCCCCAAACCAATCACCAAGTCAGGAAGATGGGGTAATATGATAGGTTCAAACAAGAACACATATCCACCCTTGTCATTGGAATGTTTTGTTGTTTTGTGGGGTTTTTTTATGGAGGGAGGTGAATTGAGTAAACAAAGATAGTAACCTTTATTTTCTATGAGATGTAATAAAGAAATTAATATTTTCATAGTAGAGTTGGTTTAAAGGGACAAAAGACTAGAATCTCAAATGTCGGTTAAGGTACCACCAGGCCCAAATGGACATGTCATGTGGACTTTTCAGCCAAGAAGGGAAGCCTATCGCACGTTTGTCTCCCAGCATCTTAGCTCCTAGAGTACAAACTTAAATTTATTTCTTAATATGCATACCTTTAACAGGAAAAGTTATAAACACTTGGGTATTATTCCAGAAAAAGCAGAACTCTTGACAGAGGGTGATTGGAGGCTGGACCACAGACTGCCATCTCTGCTTGAAAAACTGTAGGATGTTTTGTCCTGTGGGAATGCATTATTTTAACAGCTTGCTTAATGCTTTTCCTTCCTGTGGAGTGGGCCGGGGATGGGAGCTCATAACAGCCATAGAAATTGAATTATATAGTAAATGAACTTCTCTTACAGTCTTTGCTGGGGTTATTTAAGACATTGAATTGTTTGCTCTTGACTCCAGTACATCAATGTTCACTCACCATTATATCAGAGGGAGGACTGTGGTATTAGAGATCTGGAGAATTTGTGACAGAGTCAGTGTTTTTACTTTTTTGCCAACATCATCATTTCCTTACTCGTTTCACATTTCTTCTGCCAGTTGGGCCCTCAACTCAAGACTACCTTGATTACTTTCAGATCATAAATATTTCTAAACTATTTTTTACCTCAAAATGTTCATGTCTTTACAAAGTGTTCCCCCCCATATTTCCAGTACTCACCTACACCATAGATAATTATTGCAACATTATTGACTATATTCCCTATGTTGTACTTTAGTACATCTCTATGACTATTTTGTAAAGTATATGATTGTTTAGCCTCTATGCTGTACACCTGAAACTAATACAAAATAATATGGAATGTAAACTATGATTGAAAATTTTTGAAAAAAAAATTTAAGTTTGTCTTTTCACTGACTTTTCTTCTTCTTCTTTTTGTCTCAAAATTAGAGGCATCTCTACTCTTTTCCAGCTTGCTAAGGACACAATGGGGAGATGATGAGCCAGGAAGATTGCTCTCATTGGAACCCAAATGCTGGCACCCTGATCTTGGACGTCCAGTCACCTGAACTATGAAAAAATAAACTTCTGTTGTTTAAGCACCCAATCTATGGGATTTTGTTATGACAGCCAGAGCTGACTGATACAATCTCTCAGATTTAGGCAGGGAGAAAAAAGTGTCAAAATAGTGTTCTCTTAGGATGAAATAAAAAGAGAAAAAATAATCTATACTTGTACTAGCTTGTATATATTTAAAATCCTGGGAAGTAAATGAGAAACTAACAATGTTGGTTACCTATTTTGGGGACATAGGAACTTGGCAGATTGAAGACAGAAGTTGAACCCTGGCCAGTGTCAATCAGTGGATAGAGCCGTGGCCTGCTCACCGAAGAATTCCCAGTCAAGGGCACGAACCTGAGTGGTAGGAGGCAAACAATCGATGTATCTCTCTCACATCTATGTTTCTCTTTCTATCTCTCTCTCTCTCTGCCCCCCCTCCCTTAAGATTTCCCTTCCTTTCTCTCCCACTCTCTCTAAATATATCAATGGGAAAAATCTCTTTGGGTGAGGATTAACAAACAAACAAAAAGAAATGGAAAAGAGGTATTGCTGTATATCTTCTTATAGTTTTTTTTAAAAAATAATTCTTTATTATTGAAAGTATTACATATGTCCCCGTTTTTCCCCCATTGACCCCCTCCATCCCACCTCTGCCCCCCTCCCCAGGTCCTCATCACCCCATTGTCTGTGTCCATGTGCCATGCACATATGAATACAAGGTCCCTGGTTGATTACCTCCCATACACCCACCCTCCCCTACCTTTCCTCCGATATTCCACACTCTGTTCCATGTCTCCATGTCTCTAGATTCACTCTGTTCATCGGTTTATTTTGTTAATAGATTCCATATATGAGTATGATCATGTGATACTTGTCTTTCTCTGACTGACTTATTTCACTTAGCATGATACTCTCCAGGTCCCTCTATGCTGTCTCAAAGGGTAAGAGATTCTTCTTTTTTACTGCTGCAAAGTATTCCATGGTATAAATGTATCTTCTTATACTTTTTTGTTGTTGTTATTCCTCACCCGAGGATATTTTCCCATTGATCTTTAGAGAGAGTGGAAGGGAGTGGGAGGGACAGAGACAGACACATCAATTGGTTGCCTCCCACACATCCCTGACCAGGTCCAGGGATCGAGCCTGCAACTGAGGTACGTGCCCTTGACTGGAATTGAACCTGGGACCCTTCAGTCCTTGGGCTGACACTCTATCCACTGAGCCAACCTGGCTAGGGCTTCTTATACTTTTGATGCTTGAACTATGTGAATGTGCTACCACTTCAAGGAATAATAATAACAAAAATATTTTATTAAAAAAACAAGATTATATTGAAATAAATGATGATATTGAAAGAAGACTTCAGATTAATGGAATAATTATAGCTCAAGTTGTCATTTGATGCAGGCACAATTTGAAGAAGATGAAGGAATATGAGTAGTGTATTAAATTGCTTTCTCAGTCAGTTCTTTAATCATCCCCAGTACAATGTAGACAGTTCTTATTGTCTGTTGGCCTTTCCTTGGATCTGCATTGGTTACTGCTGTCAGAATATGCATTTGATTGAAAAATAATGGCCACGGGTTTGCAAGTACTCTCAGCAATGCCAAGACAGTCTCTGAGAGTAAAGCCTTCTCCTTCAGCCTTCCTTAGTTGTGGTCCTATTTTCAAGGACAGCAGCTGCTGAGAAAAAGACCTAGTTCTTCATTTGAAAGAGGTCCAGGCCTCTTCTGTGGGCATAGATGTAACTTTTTTCACAACTTACTTTGGCAAAATGAGCATCCAGTTGTTTTAGGAACATGATGTCATACTACCCCAGGTTGTTATCTTTAAATGAATTCCTGATTATCCTATTTCTGTTTGACATCTATCAAAGATTTCTTTTCCCTTGGCCATCTGGCCTCTGCCTAACTCTACTCCCATCTACTTACTGTGAGCAGTTTTGCCATGACCCTAAAGTACCTTTTGTTCTGCCCCATGCCTTCTCACATGCCATTTCCATTGCCTGGATCACCTTTCTATTTGTTCCTTCTGATGAAGCTCCCCTAAATGGAAGTGAGTGTTTTTCCTGACATCACCCATCAGATTCAAGAAGTTCGGGGGCCATAGCATATTCATTTTGCATCCCCAATGCTGGCATCCGGTAGGCACTTGATGGTTGAATGAATGAATAAATATACAGTCTGGCTGATATGTTAATGACAAAAATATCATAGTGCCCCATAAGAAAATCCTAACCAATGGTTATAGAAAATCTTCACAGGAGGGATTCTTAGTCTCTGGGTTGTAATTGTGTTATTCAGCCCCTCTTTGACTTGAAGAGCTGAATTCTGTCAGGAGCCTTTTGATTCTTCGGAAAACTTTCTATTTTGTAGGGGTGTGTGTGTGTGTGTGTGTGTGTGTGTGTGTGTGTGTGTGTGTGGTTTGAAAACTCTACTGGAGATTCTCATCTTAAGGCATCTCTTTGAGGATCTCCTCTGTTTAAGAGCATTTTATTTCTTACATGTTCAAGCATAGAGGACAGCACTCAATTCAGTAGATTTTCATCCTTATTTCCAGAAAACCACATTTTGTATGCTTTGTGGTAAAGGTACATATCTATAGAAATCACCCTGGGGAAGTGAGCCTTTGGCTAGAACCTCAGATCCACATTTGCTTGCCAGAGATCAAGAGTGACAGCAGGGTCATCTCTACCAGTTTGTAGTTAGATCTCTTTCTCATGTGTCTTTCTCAAACATGTTCTTTTAAAATGGTATGCAGTTTGCAGGGGGGAAAAATCACTACGATTTTCAAGCTGAAAGAATTCACTTTCCAAATGAAAAGGGCTGATTTTGGAGGGGTTGAGCTGTGTCAATAAGGCACTAGTGAAACAGATTTTTGCATTAGGCCCATTATCTTTCATTAATTCTGTTTATCCTGAACCAAGTAGATAAAATAAATTCTTGAACTCCAGCTATTCAGACATGCTTATATAAGTATGGCCTCATAATAATTTGTTTTCAGAGTGCATTGACTTTAATTGTCCAACTGATGCTGTTGAAATGTGTCCATTATTATATATAATATCTTTATATAATATCTTTAGATATTAGATATATTATATTTAATATAGTACTCATTTTCTACAGTATCTTGAGATCTAATGTACAGCATGATAACGGTAGTTAAAAATACTTTATTATATACTAGAAATTTGCTAAGAGAGAAGATTTTAGGTGTTGTCGCCACAAAAAAATAAATGGTAAATGTGTTAGGAGATGGATATGCTCCTTAGCTTGATTGTGGTAATCATTTTACCATGTATATGGATATCAAAACATTATGTTTTACTCCTTAAATAGATGCAATTGTCATTAAATACAACAACACACCAAGATTTGCAATAGATTGAATGTGGAAGGCGATATGAGAATCCAGCTGTCCTCCACTTTGCAAAAAATATAAAACACCACTAGGTACTGTTTTTGGAGGTTGTGATTACTTTTTCATAAAAATGTATTATTTGTATTCATTTTGGTGAGCATTGTCACAAGCTTGAGTTCAATATACGTTTGAGCACAACCCTGACACTTTTTTTAATGTAAATTGCACATTTGCTCTTGGTTACATGTGGATGAAGGCAAAACTTAAAGCCAACAGAATTTGCTGGACCTTAGTTCTGATGCCATTTCTTGCAAGGTTTAGAGATTAAAATAATAAGAGTTCTGAAATATTTCTCCCACCCCTGAACTTCAATCATTTTGCAGTTGCCAAATCTGCACAATTTCCAGATTTGCCCTCCTACAGTAGAGTGTCTTAATTAAATAATTAATTAAGCCCTTTCAAAAACCAGCAGTTCCCTGTGGGTTGCTTCTATAATTGCCTCTTCATTCATCAACTAAAGGTCTACTGAAGCCGTCTTGTTTCTCAATGTAATGATTTCCTTATTTAATTCATGCATTTGTTTATAGCTTATGTGTGTCTGTTTGGTGTCATTCTCTGTTCAAAATTGTAAGGTCCCAAAGACAAGACCCAAGTACCTTTAATTTCTTTTCTATGGAGCCCACACAGCATTATATAATATTAAACAGGGAATAATTATTTTTAGTGTGATGATGCTAAAGACAGGAATCTAAGTAGGCTGATCAGATGTGAATTTAACATGGAAAAAATTTATTGAAGTTCTGCTTGTGCTGCTCATAGCACACAGTCGCCTGTATCAGCTGCTAAGAGTTTAGTGTTATGTGAAAGCAGCAGTAAAGATGTTCAAAATAGTCAATTCCCAATGACTCATAAGTGCACTATGTGTCCCTTAAGTTGCTCACCTGCTTTTGCCCTAGGACCATGTTTCTGCTTGGCCAGAGGCTGAAAGGCATATAGGAGGTCAAATCAACCAATGTTCTAAATACTGATAGTTCTGGTAGTAAGATTATTCAAAGAGAAGCTGGCAATGATTGCTAAATCATTATTTTGAGGGATTACTGTGGAATATAAATCTTGATGGTCAATTTGCATTACCAAATCAACATTCATTGAATGCATGGTTTGTAAAACCATCAAGAAATTCCTGTGTGTGTGTGTGTGTGTGTGTGTGTGTGTGTGTGTGTGTGTGTGAAAAGCTCAGTATGGTATGCCTGACTGTATTTAGCGGAGAAAATCAAATAGTTCATCTTGATGGACTAGCAGAACTTGGAGAAGGCAGCCTTGAAGACAAAGCAGTTTACTAGAACTGAAGAATTTAACTTTTGTTCTAGTCCTCCCTTCTTTCAGCCTTGTCAACAGGAAAACTCTCAAGGTTGATTTCAAATGAATTATCCTGGGCATATTACTCGCCCCTCTCCCCTCCAAAAAATAAAAAACATTTATCTGTCACTTCATGGAAATTGCTACTGGGAGCAGTAGCATATTAAATCTTCCATCACCTATATGGGGTAGTTAGTGGTTCTCATAACACCTTGTACAAACTATAACACGTACTAATAGTTTGTTTTCAAATTAGTGTCATCTGGACTAGATTGACAACTCTTCCAGAGAAAAATTGTCTTTAGAAATGATGTTTATT